ACCCACGGGGGGGGGGGGTGGCTGGTGTCACCCCCCTCATCCCTGTCATCACCTTGCTGTGGGGCTGGCGTCACCCTCCATGGCTGAGATCGTTGTCCCCGGTGTCATTCCCTTGTCCCCAGCCTCACCTGCTATGGGACTGGCGTCACTCCTCGTCCCTGGTGTCACCCCCTCATCGCCCCGCGTCCCCAGTGTCACCTCATGTCCCCAGCATCTCCCCCATGTCCCCACCACCGCACCCCCTCCCAGTGACACGCTGTGGGGGGAGAACCGGGCATGCCATGCCGTGGTGGGTGACACGTCCCCGCTGTCCCCAGGGCCAGGTGACACGGGCGCAGGAGGCGGAGGAGAACTACATCATCAAGCGGGAGCTGGCGGTGGTGAAGCAACGCTGCACCTCGGCCACCGAGAACCTCCAGCGCGCCCAGACCACCATCCGGCAGCTGCAGGACCAACAGGTTGGTGTCCCCACGTGTCCCCAGATGTCCCCAGATGTCCCCAGGCATCCTTATCGCCCTCACATATCCCCCCCCTTCAATTCGTGCCGTGCTGCAGCCTGGATTTGGCTGCAGGTGGTTGGTGCCACCACCACGGGCAAGAGAGGAGGGGGGAGGTGACGGGCATCATGTCCTGAGGGTGACATGTTGGGGATGGTGACAGGGGAACCCGCGCTTCACCGAGGAGTTTGTCACCCACCTGGAGACGGAGCTGGAGCAGTCGCGGCTGCGGGAGAGCGAGACCCTCGGTGCCCTCAAGGAGATGCAGGATAAAGTCCTCGACATGGAGAAGGTGACGAGGACGGCTCACGGCTGTCACACTGGTGGCCTTGGGGACGGGGGATGGTCCTACAAGTGGCCCCGGGGATGGGGAGTGTCACACAAGCGGTTTTGGGGTTGGGACAGTCATGTGGGTGGCCCTTGGGATGGTCACACGAGCGGCTCTGGGGATGGAGAGTGTCACACAAGTGGCCTTGGGGACAAGCAGTGTCCCCAAGGGACACTGGACCTGGTGTCCCCTGTCCCTGGGGATCCCCAGTGCCACGCAAGTGTCCCCACGGGATCCTCCTGTGCCACGCGTCCCTGGGGGATCCCCGGTCCCCGTCACCTCCCCCCAATACCCCATGAATGTCCCCACCTCCACCTGGCAGAGGGGATGAGCCCCAAATGCCACCACCCTGGGGTGTCCCTGCCGATGACCAGTGCCCCCGCCCCGGGGTGTCCCCGCTGATGTCCCCTGGGACCCCACAGAGGAACAGCCTGCTGCCGGATGAGGACAACGTGGTGCGGCTGCAGGAGGAGCTGCAGGCGCTGGCGCTGCGCGAGGCCGAGGCCGTCAAGTCGCTGACGGAGCTGCAGCAGCAAGTGAAGGACCTCAGTGACAGCTGGCAGGTAAGGACAGGGACGCCTAGGTGTCCCCCCGTGGGATACCTGGGTCACCCCCCAGATGGCGGAGTCCCCTCCTGGCCACCTGGGTGCCTTATTTCAACATCTGGGTCCCCTCCTGGCCACCTAGGTTCCTTGTTCCAACATCTGGGTCCCCTTCTGGCCACCTAGGTCCCCTTCCAGACACCTAGGTCCCTTATTCCAACATCTGGGTCCCCTCCTGGCCACCTGGGTGCCTTATTCCAACATCTGGGTCCCCTCCTGGCCACCCAGGTCCCTTCTTCGAACACCTGGGCCCCCTCCTGGCCACCAAGTCCCCTTCCGGACACCTAGGTTCCTTCTTCCAACATCTGGGTCCCTGCTGGCCACCTGGGTGCCTTATTCCAACATCTGGGTCCCCTCCCTGCCACCTAGGTCCTCTTCCGGACACCTTTGTCCCTTCGTCCCAACGCCTCTGTCCCTTCCTGGCCACCTGGGTCCCTCACCCTGCCACTTAGGTCCCTTGTTCCAACATCTGGGTCCCCTCGTGGCCCCCTGAGTCGCCACCTCTGTCCCTCGTCCCAATGCCTCTGTCCTTTCCTGGCCACCTGGGTCCCCTCCTGGCCACCTGGGTCCCTATGGGGGTCACCGGGGTCCCCCACCGGCCCCGGCTGGGTGCCTGACGTGTGCGGGGCGCAGGCGGGACGGGCAGGCGGACGCTGGAAGGAATCCCCGCGGCGGAGCAACGCCAACGCGCTGCAGGAGGCCGTGGTGGCGGCGCGGCTGCGGGAGGCACAGGCACAGGCCGAGCTGCGGGCGCTGCGCCAACGGGTGCTGCAGCTCGAGACGCAGGTCAGAGCCAGGGCCGCATCCTGACGAGGGGGTTGGGGGGCTGAACTGGGGGGTACTGAGGCTGACTGGGGGCTGAACTGGGGGGGACTGGGGCTGTGGGGGCTGAACTGCGGGGTACTGGGGCTGACTGGGGGCTGAACTGGGGGGGACTGGGGCTGTGGGGGCTGAACTGCGGGGTACTGGGGCTGACTGGGGGCTGAACTGGGGGGGACTGGGGCTGTGGGGGCTGAACTGCGGGGTACTGGGGCTGACTGGGGGCTGAACTGGGGGGGACTGGGGCTGTGGGGGCTGAACTGCGGGGTACTGGGGCTGACTGGGGGCTGAACTGGGGGGGACTGGGGCTGTGGGGGCTGAACTGCGGGGTACTGGGGCTGACTGGGGGCTGAACTGGGGGGGACTGGGGCTGTGGGGGCTGAACTGCGGGGTACTGGGGCTGACTGGGGGCTGAACTGGGGGGGACTGGGGCTGTGGGGGCTGAACTGCGGGGTACTGGGGCTGACTGGGGGCTGAACTGGGGGGGACTGGGGCTGTGGGGGCTGAACTGCGGGGTACTGGGGCTGACTGGGGGCTGAACTGGGGGGGACTGGGGCTGTGGGGGCTGAACTGCGGGGTACTGGGGCTGACTGGGGGCTGAACTGGGGGGGACTGGGGCTGTGGGGGCTGAACTGCGGGGTACTGGGGCTGACTGGGGGCTGAACTGGGGGGGACTGGGGCTGTGGGGGCTGAACTGCGGGGTACTGGGGCTGACTGGGGGCTGAACTGGGGGGGACTGGGGCTGTGGGGGCTGAACTGCGGGGTACTGGGGCTGACTGGGGGCTGAACTGGGGGGGACTGGGGCTGTGGGGGCTGAACTGCGGGGTACTGGGGCTGACTGGGGGCTGAACTGGGGGGGACTGGGGCTGTGGGGGCTGAACTGCGGGGTACTGGGGCTGACTGGGGGCTGAACTGGGGGGGACTGGGGCTGTGGGGGCTGAACTGCGGGGTACTGGGGCTGACTGGGGGCTGAACTGGGGGGGACTGGGGCTGTGGGGGCTGAACTGCGGGGTACTGGGGCTGACTGGGGGCTGAACTGGGGGGGACTGGGGCTGTGGGGGCTGAACTGCGGGGTACTGGGGCTGACTGGGGGCTGAACTGGGGGGGACTGGGGCTGTGGGGGCTGAACTGCGGGGTACTGGGGCTGACTGGGGGCTGAACTGGGGGGGACTGGGGCTGTGGGGGCTGAACTGCGGGGTACTGGGGCTGACTGGGGGCTGAACTGGGGGGGACTGGGGCTGTGGGGGCTGAACTGCGGGGTACTGGGGCTGACTGGGGGCTGAACTGGGGGGGACTGGGGCTGTGGGGGCTGAACTGCGGGGTACTGGGGCTGACTGGGGGCTGAACTGGGGGGGACTGGGGCTGTGGGGGCTGAACTGCGGGGTACTGGGGCTGACTGGGGGCTGAACTGGGGGGGACTGGGGCTGTGGGGGCTGAACTGCGGGGTACTGGGGCTGACTGGGGGCTGAACTGGGGGGGACTGGGGCTGTGGGGGCTGAACTGCGGGGTACTGGGGCTGACTGGGGGCTGAACTGGGGGGGACTGGGGCTGTGGGGGCTGAACTGCGGGGTACTGGGGCTGACTGGGGGCTGAACTGGGGGGGACTGGGGCTGTGGGGGCTGAACTGCGGGGTACTGGGGCTGACTGGGGGCTGAACTGGGGGGGACTGGGGCTGTGGGGGCTGAACTGCGGGGTACTGGGGCTGACTGGGGGCTGAACTGGGGGGGACTGGGGCTGTGGGGGCTGAACTGCGGGGTACTGGGGCTGACTGGGGGCTGAACTGGGGGGGACTGGGGCTGTGGGGGCTGAACTGCGGGGTACTGGGGCTGACTGGGGGCTGAACTGGGGGGGACTGGGGCTGTGGGGGCTGAACTGCGGGGTACTGGGGCTGACTGGGGGCTGAACTGGGGGGGACTGGGGCTGTGGGGGCTGAACTGCGGGGTACTGGGGCTGACTGGGGGCTGAACTGGGGGGTACTGGGGCTGGGGTGCGATGTGCCAGCTGGTGCTGCAGCTCGAGATGCAGATCAGAGCCCGGGCCACATCCTGAGCAAGGGACTGGGATGCTTAACTGGGAGGTACTGGAGCTGGCTGGGGAGGGGCTGAACTTAGGGGGGTGTTGGAGCTGTGGGGGCTAAACTGGGAGGTACTGGAGCTGTGGGGGCTGAACTGGGGGTGCTGGGTCCATGGGTGCTGGGTGCCCGCACCCCCATGGCCAGATCCAGGCGGCGAGGAGGTGACAAGGACGGTGGCCGGGGTGGTGACAGTCCTGTGTGTGTGTGTCCCCCTCTCCAGAGCCATACTGGTGACTCGGGGGGGGACACATGTGGGAGCCGAGGTGGGGGTGTGTGACAGGGTGGTGACAGTCCTGTCCCCCTGCAGGGCCAAATCCAGCGCACGGTGCTGGGCCGAGCGGAGCAGACCTGCGCGGGGCTGCGGGAGCAGCTGAGGTTGGCGGCGGCGCAGAGCAAAGGGCTTCAGGCGCAGCTCAGCGAGAGCCACCGCAAACACGCCGAGGCCCAGTGCAAGGTGGGGACAGCTCGGGGACAGCTCGGGGACACCCTCGGGCCCTCCGCTGTCACCTCCCCTGGGTGCTCCCCGGCCCCTCCCCAAGGACACCGCTGTCCGCTCCCCTGGGGACACCACTGTCCCCTCCGAGAGACACCCGCAGACCCACCTTGGGGACACCGCTTGCCCCTCCCCAAGGACACCGCTGTCCGCTCCCCTGGGGACACCACTGTCCCCTCCGAGAGACACCCGCAGACCCACCTTGGGGACACCGCTTGCCCCTCCCCAAGGACACCGCTGTCCGCTCCCCTGGGGACACCACTGTCCCCTCCGAGAGACACCCGCAGACCCACCTTGGGGACACCGCTTGCCCCTCCCCAAGGACACCGCTGTCCGCTCCCCTGGGGACACCACTGTCCCCTCCGAGAGACACCCGCAGACCCACCTTGGGGACACCGCTTGCCCCTCCCCAAGGACACCGCTGTCCGCTCCCCTGGGGACACCACTGTCCCCTCCGAGAGACACCCGCAGACCCACCTTGGGGACACCGCTTGCCCCTCCCCAAGGACACCGCTGTCCGCTCCCCTGGGGACACCACTGTCCCCTCCGAGAGACACCCGCAGACCCACCTTGGGGACACCGCTTGCCCCTCCCCAAGGACACCGCTGTCCGCTCCCCTGGGGACACCACTGTCCCCTCCGAGAGACACCCGCAGACCCACCTTGGGGACACCGCTTGCCCCTCCCCAAGGACACCGCTGTCCGCTCCCCTGGGGACACCACTGTCCCCTCCGAGAGACACCCGCAGACCCACCTTGGGGACACCGCTTGCCCCTCCCCAAGGACACCGCTGTCCGCTCCCCTGGGGACACCACTGTCCCCTCCGAGAGACACCCGCAGACCCACCTTGGGGACACCGCTTGCCCCTCCCCAAGGACACCGCTGTCCGCTCCCCTGGGGACACCACTGTCCCCTCCGAGAGACACCCGCAGACCCACCTTGGGGACACCGCTTGCCCCTCCCCAAGGACACCGCTGTCCGCTCCCCTGGGGACACCACTGTCCCCTCCGAGAGACACCCGCAGACCCACCTTGGGGACACCGCTTGCCCCTCCCCAAGGACACCGCTGTCCGCTCCCCTGGGGACACCACTGTCCCCTCCGAGAGACACCCGCAGACCCACCTTGGGGACACCGCTTGCCCCTCCCCAAGGACACCGCTGTCCGCTCCCCTGGGGACACCACTGTCCCCTCCGAGAGACACCCGCAGACCCACCTTGGGGACACCGCTTGCCCCTCCCCAAGGACACCGCTGTCCGCTCCCCTGGGGACACCACTGTCCCCTCCGAGAGACACCCGCAGACCCACCTTGGGGACACCGCTTGCCCCTCCCCAAGGACACCGCTGTCCGCTCCCCTGGGGACACCACTGTCCCCTCCGAGAGACACCCGCAGACCCACCTTGGGGACACCGCTTGCCCCTCCCCAAGGACACCGCTGTCCGCTCCCCTGGGGACACCACTGTCCCCTCCGAGAGACACCCGCAGACCCACCTTGGGGACACCGCTTGCCCCTCCCCAAGGACACCGCTGTCCGCTCCCCTGGGGACACCACTGTCCCCTCCGAGAGACACCCGCAGACCCACCTTGGGGACACCGCTTGCCCCTCCCCAAGGACACCGCTGTCCGCTCCCCTGGGGACACCACTGTCCCCTCCGAGAGACACCCGCAGACCCACCTTGGGGACACCGCTTGCCCCTCCCCAAGGACACCGCTGTCCGCTCCCCTGGGGACACCACTGTCCCCTCCGAGAGACACCCGCAGACCCACCTTGGGGACACCGCTTGCCCCTCCCCAAGGACACCGCTGTCCGCTCCCCTGGGGACACCACTGTCCCCTCCGAGAGACACCCGCAGACCCACCTTGGGGACACCGCTTGCCCCTCCCCAAGGACACCGCTGTCCGCTCCCCTGGGGACACCACTGTCCCCTCCGAGAGACACCCGCAGACCCACCTTGGGGACACCGCTTGCCCCTCCCCAAGGACACCGCTGTCCGCTCCCCTGGGGACACCACTGTCCCCTCCGAGAGACACCCGCAGACCCACCTTGGGGACACCCCTGTCGCCTCCTGTGGGGACACCACTGTCCCCTCCCACCAACACCCATAGACCGTTCCTTGGGGACACCGCTGTCCCCTCCTGTTGGGCCACCACCGTCCCCTCCCAGGGACACCCGCAGACCCTGCCATGGGGACACTGCTGTCCCCTCCCATGGGAACACCACCGTCCCCTCCCAGTGACACCCACAACCCTTCCCGTGGGGTCACCGTGTCCCCTCCAACAAGGTCCCCATGTCCCCTCCAGGAGGGTCAATGTGTCCCTTCTGAGAGGGTCCTAATGTCCCCTCCCTTGAGGTCCCCGTGTCCCCTCTGAGAGGGTCCCCGTGTCCCCTCCAATGGGTCCCTGATGTCCCCTCCCATAGTGTCCCCATGTCCCCTCCTCCGGGTCCCCACCTTCCCTCCGCTGGGCCCCCGTCACCCCCAACGTCCCCTCCACCCCCCTTCCCTTGTCCTTGGGGACAGAAGGGGGAGGGTGGCTGGAGCCTCCCTTGAGAGGGGTGGGTGACACAGGGGTGGCCCTGACGTGGCACCGGGGTGACACGCGTGTCCCCAGAGCAAGGAGGAGGTGATGGCGGTGCGGCTG